AGCCATGAATTGAAATAGAGTCTCTAAAATGAATATTCCCCCTAGTCTAAGGTGACCAGTATTTTAGACAATAGAACTCAGCACACAACCACAGCACAAGAAAAAAATATGACAAATAAGATTACACATGTGTGTAATTATTTTAACATGAAACATGTAAAGAGACATTTATTTGGAATTATATATTAGTCTACATTATTTACTTTATTTGTGACATAAGTGCTTTTATAAAACAGGACTGGGTAACAGTATGAATTACTAGTAATTAATAGCATGAATAATTAAACAAGCAAGTGCTTTTAAATAAAGTTTTATTTTAGAGTAGTTTCAGGCCTACAGAGAAATTGCAGAGAAAGCACAGAGATTTCCCACGTAGCTTCAACCTAGTTTCCCCTCTTATTAATATCTTCTATCAGCGTGTATCATGTGCTTTTCTAACATCTTATGTCATTTGTCAGAGTTAATGAAGAAATATTGATACGCTATTATGAACTAAAATCTATACCGTACTTGTGTTCCCTTAGCTCTGCCTTTCCCTGTGGGAGGGTCCCGTCCAGGATCCCACATGACGTTTAGTCATCGTGTCTCCTTTGGCTCTTCTTGGCTGTGACAGTTTCTCAGACTTTCCTTCTTCTGATGACCTTGACAGTGTGGGGAACATTGGTCAGGTATTTTGAGAATGGCTCCCATTGTGATTTACCTGGTGTTTTTCTGGGGGGTTAGGGGTTGGGGGGAAGCAGATCACAGAGGTAAAATGCTATTTCCATCACATTGTATCAAGGGGACATGCTTTCAAGGTGACCTGCTACTGTTCCTGTAAAGTTTGATCACCTGGCTGAGCGTGTGTTTTCAGGTTTACACTGTGAAGTTACTTTGCCCAGTGTCCGTGCCGTATGTGTTCTTGTGGAGGAGGTGACCATGCGGAGCGCACGCTGGAGCATGGGGAGTTAGCGCCCCCTCTTTGACGGCTGAATCTCTACATCAAGGACTTGGAATTATTCTGCGTAGAAGATTTCTATTCAGCTCCATTTCCTTATTCATGTATTTATACAAGTATGGACACGTGCATGGTTACTTTAAGCTTTAGTTATTCTCCAGTTCTACAGTATTTTTTTGCACAATTCTTTCCTGCTTTGGCCACTGGGGGCTCTTTCCATTGCCTCCTGTTTTCCTTTGTCATAATTCTATCCTTTTTTCCTGATTGCTTCCTTACTTTCTGATATTTCAGGATCATCCTGGCTCATATATCTGCTGTCTCACTCCTAGTATGAGTCATGTCTTCAAAGAGCCCTGGTTCCTTTTATTAGAGAAGGGTAATAAAAATTCACATCTGGCAGCTAAATGTGCTCATTGCATCTTGGCCCTCACAGCTGACAACACAAGGAAGTATATGTGTGTATTTTAACCTACAGAAATATACCTATTTATAAAGTTTTTTATGTGGAATTGTTTTGTGCCTATATTAAGCTAAACATGAGTTTATACTGATGTCTCAACCTCTGATCTGTTATCACGTGGATTACTCTAGCCTCCTCCCCTTGCTGATCTGTAACCTTCCACTTTAACAGTGAGAAACCTGCCTCCCACAATCTTCCACTTATGTAAGTCATTGTTCCATTTGAGATATAGATATAGTAGTTTTAGGATTGTTAACTATTGCCTCCATTGGAAAGAACTTTATAAAATAGAATCCAGTGTTGAAGTATAGTTCATTTGCCTCCAGCCTAGAGATTCCACTCATTTCCAAAACTACTTAGATCTGCTCCATTTGCCCTACATCTTCAGTGAGTTTTTTTGTACATTTGTATCTTAGTCCATTTTGTGTTGCTATAACAGAATACCTGAGAATACAAATTACCTCAGTAAGTTCTAAAGAAAATAGATTTATTTATCTCATGATTTCGGTGGCTATAACATCCAGGATTGGGCATCTGCATCTGGCGAGGGCCTCAGGCTGCGTCAGCTTATGGTGGAAAGTGGAAGGAGGGCAGGTGTGTGCAGAGACCACATGACCAGAGAGAACGCCAGAGAGAGAAACCAAGGCAGCCAGAGTCTTTAACAATCTGCTCTTGGGGGAACTCACTCATGTCTCAGTATGGCACAGC